CTGCTTCAGAATCTTCTGGGCTGCTTAAAAAATGCAGAGTCTAGGCCCCCACTCTGCACCTGGTGAATCCAAACTTCTGCGGATGTAGCCTGGGAATATGAATTTTATCAAACTGCCAGGGTGACTCTCATACATGCTAACTTTTCAAATAAATGCCTGAGATCCATGAGTCCAGGTTTTACAATATCCAGAGCTATCCTGGCTGGAAACATGCTCCAGTTTCAATCAATTGCCAACAAGCAGGTCCTTAGCGAGTGCAGGTTATGGTGGGCATTGTGCTTTAAACAGTCTTTGGGACTTGCAATATGTTTCACCTTACACTGGGGCAATGGAACAAGGGCACAGCCACTGCCATCACCACCTCATCTCTTCCACATCTGCAGAGAAAGCGGGGAGGCCTGGCTGTTCACAGGCTCACTTGGGGAAGTGGCACATGCAGGCAGGCAGGGGGCATCCCTGCTCCTTGTGTCAACCTGAGAAGATGTACCTACGTAAAGAGATCCATGCGTTATATTCCTCCTCATACCCACCCAATTTATATGTATGTATATAAATGCTATCTCCTTACTGTATTAATAAACATTTATTTGATTACTGGTGTGACTGAATACTCCATCTAAACATGATCAAGGTAGAAGAAGTAGATGCCAGAGATGATAGGTAGCCGACATAAATGTAATTTATATAGCTTCTCCTCTTTTGGATACTTAACTTTTTCTCAGCAATTGGTGCCTTTTTTAAAAATGAGAATACGTATTCCATATGCAGGTCCTAATAGAATGTGTTGAGAGCAAGGTCGAGGCAAGCAGGAGATGTAGGAAGAGGGACAGAAGATGAATGGGAGCAGGGCTGAGCTTTCTCTGCAGTGGACTCACTCACCCTCCACACAGAAGTGAGAGAATGTAACCATTAGCACAGTCACTGCCACCTCCAGTGGCCTCTCTGCACCCCAGTTCTCCACCTGTAAAGTTAGAGCATTGCTCTCAGTTGCACACTAATAACGCTGAAGGAGACTTCAGAGAGCATCCAGTTGACCTTCCTCTTTCTAGATGAGCCCACCGAGGCCTGACTTCAGGAGAATGTGTTGGTGCGAGCTTCCAGACTGTCCCAACGGAGTGTTGACCCTTGAACTTCAGCTCCAGCATTTTGGGATTTTCAGATAAGCTGTTTGTCATCATACACAAGGCTAGGTATGATCACCTCCTTAGTTATCCACCCATCAGGAGTCATAATACATCATCCAGCTGATCTTAAAAAAGTTCTTACGAAGCAAAAGTTCCATTCTTTTTAAAGTGGTCGATAGAACCATGGCACGAGGGATTCTTAATCACGAGTAAACTTAGGGGTAGAGGCCTCCCAGGGCTAATTTAAATGGAAGAGCAGATAATAGTTCACTTGGGTTCATTTTCCCATTTTTAAAATGCCATTTCTTTTGACCCTTGAACTTCAGCTCCAGCATTTTGGGATTTTCAGATAAGCTGTTTGTCATCATACACAAGGCTAGGTATGGTCACCTCCTTAGTTATCCACCCATCAGGAGTCATAATACATCATCCAGCTGATCTTAAAAAAGTTCTTACGAAGCGAAAGTTCCATTCTTTTTAAAGTGGTCGATAGAACCATGGCACAAGGGATTCTTAATCATGAGTAAACTTAGGGGTAGAGGCCTCCCAGGGCTAATTTAGATGGAAGAGCAGATAATAGTTCACTTGGGTTCATTTTCCCATTTTTAAAATGCCATTTCTTTTCTAGCAGAATCAATTTTTAAGCTATTAACCCAGCTCTCACCAGACATTCTTCTTGTGGTTTGGTTTATTCTGGTTGTTACTTAAGTCTCCCCAGAGGGAAGCCAGATCACAGGCATGTGCCCTGAGACTCTGTGGCAGGTACTGTGGAGGTTGTGGTGGGATCCAGTATCACAGGAATGAGAGATTTTGGAGGTACCTAGGCCAGGGCTTGTGCCACAGCTCCCATCTCATTGGGGAGGGAAGCCAGATCACAGGCATGTGCCCTGAGACTCTGTGGCAGGTACTGTGGAGGTTGTGGTGGGATCTGGTATCACGGGAATGAGAGATTTTGGAGGTACCTAGGCCAGGGCTTGTGCCACAGCTCCCATCTCATTGGGCAAACTCGAGGATGAAGTCTCTTCTGAGTCTCATCTGTAGAAGGTACAACAAGAGAAAAAGTTTAAAGAGCCTGGCATAACCCTCCTCACAGTGCTGCTGGGAGTGCAAATTGGCGCCACCTTGCCGGAGGGCAATCTGGTACTAGCTGTCGAAATTTAAAATACCCACACTCTTGACTGGCAGTTCTGCCTCTGGGAATTTATCCTGCAGATTTATAACCCTCCTCACAGTGCTGCTGGGAGTGCAAATTGGCGCCACCTTGCCGGAGGGCAATCTGGTACTAGCTGTCAAAATTTAAAATACCCACACTCTTGACTGGCAGTTCTGCCTCTGGGAATTTATCCTGCAGATTTTCTTGTGTGTTCAAAGTGACATATGTACAAGGATGGTCACTGCAGCAGCGTTTGCTGTGTCAAAACATCCGAAAGCAACCCAAATCAATAGGGGTTGGTCAGATAAGTTGTAGGACATCCACGTGGAAGTAGTCTGCATCTGTAAATGAGCGAGACAGTGCTAGGAACAGTGATTTGGAAGGATCCCCAGGATGGGTGGTTAAGGGAAAAGACTAGATGCAGAACAGTAAGTATATGAATATGTTTTTGTGCGTGTAAAGAAGCATCATGTATGAAACATGCTATGTATCCACAGGATCTCTTTGGAAGATCATACTATAAGGGACTAACGGTGGTTGCCCCTGGGGAAGACTGAGAGGGAAGCTGGAGGACTCTGCTCAGTTGCCCAAATCCCAAAGTAGACATTTATCCTCAATCCTTCCTATTCTTTTCCTTTCCTTTCCTTTCTTTTTTTTTTTTTTTTTTTGGTTGAAAAAAAAAATCTTTTTATTGTAAAATAAAACACAGATGCCAAAAACCACACAAAACAAATCATTATATAATTTGCATATTTAATGAATTTGTATATAATGAATGAATATAAAGCAAGTAAAGCCCCTCACCCCTGTGATCAGAGCCTTTCCAACCTCATCTCAGCCCTCCTGACCTCTTTTCTGCTCTCCAAATCTGCCCTTCCTGCCTCCCGGCTCTGAACTAGATGTTCCCTTTTCCTGAAATGCTCTTCTAGCAGCTTCTCCGTGGCCATCCCATTTCCATGCTTCAGGTCTTAGAGGCTGTATAAAATGTGTCCTCTCCAGGTCTCTCTGCATCTCATCACCACCCTGCTTTTTCTCTCTCAGCAAATATCACCATTTGTAATAGCTTGTTGGTTGAAGTGTGTGTTCCCATTTCCATGCTTCAGGTCTTAGAGGCTGTATAAAATGTGTCCTCTCCAGGTCTCTCTGCATCTCATCACCATCCTGCTTTTTCTCTCTCAGCAAATATCACCATTTGTAATAGCTTGTTGGTTGAAGTGTGTGTCTGTCTGTTGGTCGTCTCCCCCCACTGGGTTTTAAGCCCCCTGAGAGCAGGGATCTTTTTATCTCATCCACTCTGTATCCCCAAAGCCAGGCTCCGTGCCTGGCATGGAGTAGGTGTGAACCCACAGCTGTTGAGTAGATGGCCATCTGGATGAATGGATGTGACTGGAAATGAGTCTATGGTGGGCTCTGTGGCTTGGAAGGTGGTTTGAGGACTCGGGAGAGGCTGAGAGAGCCAGCTGCAGCAGAAGTTACAAGAACCAGGACTCTCAGCGGCTCCTCACTGAGGAAAAACAACTCTTCCCTGACCTGCCCTGGAGCATAGTGGTTAGCGCTTATCTTGGAGCAAAACCCTCCATGAGTCTTAGCCTTCTGGCTGAGGCCCTGACTTTGACTAACCCCACCTGACGCAGGAGCTAGAGAACTGATGTTCAGGGCCTGCTTTCGGGCGTCACCACAGTGCACTCATCGCTGCTCTCGAGGGCAAGCAGGGAGCTTAGCTTCAGTCCTTGGATGTGCCACTTTCTAGGTGACTGATCTTTGGTGAGACCCTTATCTCCTGGGGCCCATTTTTTTGTTTTTCCAAATATATCACTTCTGCTTTTGTAGAACTTGAATTAGCACAGAGTTACCCTGAGACATGGAGGGCATGGTCCCTCTGGGCCCCATCTTCGTTTTTCACCCACTTGTCCCTGCAAGGACTTATTCCGTACAGGACCCACTAAGTCCTCACTACATGCAGGACTCTGGTCACACCAAGACATTGTCACAGGTCAGGTTCCTGGGAAGCTAACTAGGAGCCAGAAGTGTGCGTGCAGGAAGTCTGTTGGGAGTGACGGCCACAGGGCTGGGCCCATGGAGAAGTGTGATGACTCCAGTGCAGTCTCAGCAAAGGCCTCTGCTGGGCCCATGGAGCTCCAGCTCTGGGATGGCTCTTCAGAGCTGTGCTGACTTGAGACAAAGAGGCTAAGCCTTTCTACTCCACAGTGACCAGTTGTTGGCTACAAACTGTCACTGGAAAGGGGATATGACCTTGGGCCAGGTGCTCTTTTGGCAGAGGCAATTCTGGAAAGCTGCCAACGTTTCCAGCAGTTGCAGACAGCAGTTCCAGTCTTGCACTTGGGATTCTGGGCGACCTGGTCCTAGCCCTGGCTCAGACACTTACCAGCTGGTCCCTGGCCATTCTCCTTATTCTCTGTAACTGAGGGATGCCTTGTACCTGGTAAATATTCCTTGCTGTTAACCGCAGAAAGCTTTCCATGGTGGGGGTGAGGGTGGGCTTAGATAAATTAAACAAGTGCGCAGGGTGCTGGGTGTAGAAGCGCCACACAGGCTGCAAAGAGCAGCACAGCTCTGGGCAGCTGCACTGTCACTCGTGCACAGCACTACTCTCACCTCCATGACATGTAGTGGGTGGCCGGTCACTGCCCTCCTGTCGTCCGCAGGAATCATGGGCATGCTTCACGTGTGTACAGCCTGACTCTGGTGCTCTCTCCCTCCAGGTGACACAGAGGTTCTCCCTGGTGATTGTGCAGGGCCACCTGGTGTCGGAAGGGGTCCTGCTCTTTGGCCACCAGCACTTCTACATCTGTGAGAACTTCACACTGTCCCCCATGGGCGATGTCTACTGCACCCGCCATTGCTTATCCAAGTGAGTTCTCTGCTTCTCCCAGCGGATCCCCCTGAGCCCCACTCTTCCCCCTGCCGTCTTGTTCTTCTTGTGGGCTTAGCTTTGGGCCTGGAACTGAGCCATGAGGTAAAACAGAAGAACCTGTGGGCAGAGGCCATTTGTGACCGTGGTTCTCCAAAGCTGAATCAGGAATGGGTGATGACGTGGCACCCCTCATGTCTCTCCTGACATGGAACGAACCACAGGACACAGGGATCTTTCCTTAGGTTATCTGGGTCATTGAATTCAGTCGCCTAGCTTACTCATTGAACCACTTGCTACTTGCTCATTCCATGTAAGACATCAGACACTGCCCCTCATGCCCAGGCTCACGTGTGCAGTTGGCAGCAAAAACTGGTTTTCTTGGAAAGAGTTTGGAGCCTACTATCATCCTGGGATGAGTGTATGTCATAGAGGACTCTTAAGGGTTTATACCTGGAAAGGTGACCTGAGACTGGTGTGGTGAGGGAGGGCTGGCTGAGGAAGTGGTTAAGATCTGGGTCTTGCAGGATGGGTGTGATTTGGGGAGAAATTTGTAGAGTCATTTTTATTCCAACTAATACCAGAGGTTTCTGGCAGTAAATTCTGAGGTCTTTTTTTAGAATCAAGTGTGTTTGGTCTATTTGGGTTCAATCAGCAATTGTTGATCAATTCTCTTGTGTTTATAAAATACTGCCATTCAAAATCAAGCTGTGTCTGTACTTTTGCCAAAAGTCCAGTTGCCACATTGTATGTTTTCATTGCTTTTGAAGACATTTGGATGAAGATTTCTTCATGCAGAAATAAGCCTTGCCTTTCCTGACTAGCCAAGTTTCAGGTGACGACAAGATAACCTCTTAGCCCGGTGGCTTTCAAACTAGCTTATATCAGAAGCACCTAGAAGGCTTGTCAGAACGCAGACTTCTGGGCCCTGCCCCACCCCGGTTTAAAAAGCAGCAGGCCTGGGGTAGGGCCTGATTTTCAGGTGACGACAAGATAACCTCTTAGCCCGGTGGCTTTCAAACTAGCTTATATCAGAAGCACCTAGAAGGCTTGTCAGAATGCAGACTTCTGGGCCCTGCCCCACCCCGGTTTAAAAAGCAGCAGGCCTGGGGTAGGGCCTGAGACTTTAAGAAGTTCCTAGCTGATGCTGATTCAACTCCTGATCCAGGACCATACTTTGAGAAATACTGATTTAGATTATTGACAAAGGAATCAGAGTCTTACTTGCCAATAACCAAGAATGTTAACTCCTGGTTGCTGTACCATTTCCAGCCTATGTCAGGAAGCAAGGTTAAAGGAGTGTGGGAGAGTAGATGTCAATCCACCCCCTTTGATTTAGATTTGCTTTAAAATGATTAGCATCTTTCTCTCTGTTACTTTCTATCTTTTATTCATACCAAACACTCACCGATTGCTGTAAGTCTTCTGTGCTCTTCCAAGGCTGAAAGAGCATAATTAATACTTGGCACACTCATCCCATCTTATTGCTCATGTTTTATTGATACTGATCAATATGGACAATGGGCCTGCAGACTTGTCTTTCTGAGAGCTGACGACAGCTCCCACTCCACCTCTGTGCGTGGCATGCCCGTGTGATGCCTTGCATGTCCGTTGCTCCACTCTCCACCTCTGGTTTAGATTGAGACAGTGTTAGATAAGATCTGTTTGATTAAATAAGTTGTGTTTATGAGGGACATCTAATCACAATCAAATTGACTATGTCTGCACTTTTAATAGAAGCCCAGTAGTCGGGCTGTATGTACTCACTTGCACTGGCAAGGGAGGCTCCCCACGTCTGAAAGCATACTTTTCCAACTTGCAAGTAGGAGTAGATTGAGAACAAATTGCTACCCTGATACCATTTGGGAATTGCACAGGTGATTTTAGTCACCACACCTCAAAGAAGTGTTCGTCAATTGAACTGTGGTTTCTCTCCAGGGTCTTGTTTACTGCCCTAGAGACTACTGGCACTCCTGGAGATGCAGTTCTCAGAGACAGGCTGTTAGATCATGTCAGATCAATGGGGGTAGAATCTTATTTTGACCATGGAGACTAAGGAGGATACATAAATAAGCCTGTTAAAAATAAAGCTAAGTCAACCCTGAATTGTTTCTCTAAAATACTGCCATCAAGTTGAGTACAGTTGACCTTGAAAGAGGCTCTGTGATATAACATAAAAATATCTCAGATAAAATTCAAGAACACTGCAAATTCTCCATCAGTGATTGGACTTGTGTACTTTGGAACTTTCCTCAGAAACCAAGAACTTTCTGAGAAGGTTAGCCTTTGTTTGTAATTGGTTCCCTTCTTGGCTGAGTAAGGCGGCTGCATTAGTTTTCTAGCGCTGTTAAAAACTGGGTGGCTCTTTGGGCCGGCCCGTGGCTCACTCGGGAGAGTGCGGTGCTGATAACACCAAGGCCCCGGGTTCGGATCCCACATACAGACCGGCCACTCACTGGCTGAGCGAGGTATGGGTGCAACACCAAGGGTTGCGATCCCGTTGCCGGTCCTGGTCCAGTACGGGAGCAACACTTGAGGGTTGCAATCCGTTGCCAGTCACGAAAAAAGACAAAAAAGGAATAAAAAAAAAAAAACAAAAAACTGGGTGGCTCTAAAAGAACAGAAATGTATTGTTTCATCATCCTCAAGGCTAGAAGTATGAAATCAAGGTGCAGGCAGGGATGTGCTTTCTCTGGCTGCTCTAAGGGAGAATCTTTCCTTGCCTCATCCAACTTCTGGCATGCATGGGCACTCCCTGGTGCTGCCAGGCTTGTAGCTGAACTGCTCCAGTCACGTGGTTGTCTGCTCTCTGTGTGTCTTCACATCATCTGCCCTCTGTGTGTCTGTCTCCTTGTCTAAATATCCACTTTCTATAAGAACACCATTCCTATTGGATTAGGACCTACCCTGATGTCCTCATTTAACCTGGTTAACTCTGTAAATACCCTGTTGCCAAATAAAGTTGCATTCTGAGGCAGGGAGATTAGGACTTCAACATATGTCTTCTGGGGGCCACAGTTCCACCCATAACAATGGCAGTCAAGATCACGAGGTACAGCATTTGATTCATTTGGTGGGAACCCAAACCATCCAACTGGCTTTTGGTGATAGGGTACTCTTAATCAGATACGTCCTCCACATCAGTGAGCAATTTAAGCCGCCATTTCTCTGTTTAATTAAACTCAACAAATATTTATAGAAAATCTGTCTTGTGCTAGGCGCTATGGTAGACTCTACAGATATGAAGGGAGAAGGTATGGGCCGAGTCTAGTAAAGAGTTTATGATCTAGTGAATGATTCTGGGTATAAATTCCAGATATAATTCTGATGGTAATTGGATAACTTCAAATGTGGGGCAAATCAAAGTATATTTTGTTCCAAAATCCATTTCTACTATCAAGGGCAATGTCAACCAATATCATGCCTATAATATAATAACACTTAGCTTAGTATTATTTCCCTAATAAGAATATTAAAAGTTATGCTATGACCACCCTGGACAATGTGCATATATATGAGAGCTGTCATGTGGTAGAACTGTGAACAGCACCCTATAAACTATGGCAACAGCTCTACCTAAAGAAAACTGTGGATTGGCTGCCCCTTTCTACCCATTAACCTTGGGTGCCTGGACTTTGATTTATTTTGCAGAATATGTAGGGTGTAGTGTTATCACAGATACCCAATCACAGCTGTGCAATTAATGCTATGTAAAACAGACCTCAGTTTGGATTTACATCAATGATCTCAATAATGTTGCATATAGTTTAGCTTTTCTGAGAATTGACGTCTGTCTGAGGGTTCCTGCCCTCTCTGGTTATTCAGTTCCTACAAACAAGAGAAAAATGACTGTCTTTCCT